CTGGGTATCTATTTTTTTGTATACGTATATACATTGTAGATCCTAAAAATTTTATTTCAAAATTAGGGCATGAAATTAATGTGCAATAATGATTGTTGAATTGATGTCCCTTCAGAGACGCCATTCACGAAAAGCCGGTATATATAATATTGATTTTTTTCTATTAACACTATTCGAGTATTTATAACATACCTCAATTACATAAAAATTGCTGCATGATATATAATTTTGTATTTAGAAGTTTTTAAAGACTTACAGTTGGGATAGCCTTGGCTTTGTCTGCTTCTCGTATACATATTGACTTCTAACTCTTAGTTGGGATCACTTTCAACACGATCGAGAGCAAAATACTAAGTATATAAAATACTTATTTCTGTTATATTCAACATTAATACACAGACTTCAACTATTTTTATGAGAAATATAGACACAATTCGAAATTTTATATAGCGTGAGCGTGATTTCCACTGGTCACGTAAACGAGAATGAATTGGAATGAATTACAGTCGTCGTATTACAGAGAAGAAGGAAATGACGTTGTTTACTGTTGTCGGAAGTAGAAAACCCGCCATCTTGATCATACTGCGCATGCTTCGATCATTGGATTATGTAGAGTGGAGGGGGTAAGATGGGAATCAATATGTATGGATGTATGTGTACATGCTCATACCACTGATGCCAGAGAAGGTCAAACCAACCACGTGACCAGTGGTGGTGGGGAAGCGTTGCGAGTTGGGATTCATCGGTTCCACTGAGAAAACCATTTTACCAGAGAAACCGACGAATCCACCACCCGTCACGTGGTTTTTTGCACTTCCTCTGACACCACTGGACATCCGTAAACTCATACATACTACACGTGCATATATATATACATATCATGTATTATATACAATATATACATATATATATATATATATATATATATATATATATTAAATAAATTAAATTTAATCTAGATTGTTTATTAATAAAAAAGACGTTATTAGATTTTAGTGCTGGAAGTTTGCTCAAAATTATTCAATAACGCCAACGAACGCACCGTGCACGTAGTATAAAGTGCAGACAGAATGGACAAGATAATTTCAAAGAATTTGGCATTTTATCATGAAATAATTATTACATATAGGATGTTTAAGATGTCAATTTTATTTGGGTACTACAATGAAATATGTAATAATAAATATATTATGTATTAACTATTTTAGTAATCGATATCTAATTCTGCAGATTGACTACTTTCGCATATTATGCAGGGTAATCTCTCTTTACATATATATCGTTCACATTTACAACATTTTAAGGTAGTACTGCTATTTTTACATAACTTCTGATTAGTTTCGAGATTTTTTACTTTTTCTATGCCTATAGGAATATTCGAATATTTTTAGGTAATGAAATCATTTTGCAGTAGCACGCAATTTGAGATGTTCTTTCAGTAAGGAAAACGATAAATTATGTACAAAAAATAAGCGATACTTTTCTTATTTTAAATGCATCACGTAATGTAACATTCGCCAGTGTATTCCGACTATATAACAATGCGAAAAATTACACTAAACACCACCAATATACAACCAGCTTGTTTTACGATTTTATGCTTCTTTTGAATGCAGAAACTACTGGGAATGTTAATAAACATATTAAACAATTTAGATCCCCAAGACGCCTACACGATGTCCTCATTTAAAGCGAAAAAACAAAACATGATTAAAAGAATACCTAAAAATCTCAAAATTGATAGACAAGGTATTACATGTTTTATGTTCATAAAACTGATTTATGTGCACGGGCGCGGTCGCCGTAAAAAAGAAAATATATATATATATATATATATATATATATCATACAAATTAAGGGTAAAAATTTGTTATACATTTATGATAAAGTTGTTCTAGAAGTTGTGGCAGAAGAAGAATACTATAAGTAATATTCTCTATATCACAATAAATTTCCTATAGAAATGATTACTGATTTCTGATGAAGTTAAAATCGTTAAATCACTGCAGTAAATAATAGGTTGCATGAATTTTTATAGGTGTATATGCATATTAATAGAAACATAAAATTTCATAAAATCATAGGGTTTGAATCAAGGAATTTATATTAATTACTTCATCGTGGCAGTAATAGTAATAACATATTTTACAGGATTTTATCATTTTCTATCTTCATAAACTTGTGGTACAATGTAATGCAAATTTAAAGCAATCCTTCCATTTCTTGCATAAATTGCATGTACGCGTCATCTTTAGTCTTGGGCTGCGTCGTGCGTATGGGTTGCGCTTCTGGTATTCTTTCTGTAAGTCTCGATAAAGTACTTGGCTTTTTCTTATCGTCTCTCTTCACTCGAAGAGATGTAGGTAAAAATCGCGTAACATCGGCTGCTAAATTTCGAATTTGCGGCTTCGCTTCGATAGTTGTAGTGCTCTTTCCATCTTTGTCTTTCCTATTAATCAATTGTGGTGCAGCAGAAAGAACATTGGGTGTTTTGGGTTGCGACCCAGTTCCTGATTGTGTCTGCATTTGAGGATTTCCTATATTTGTCATATTCGATAGGTTTGGCATTTGCATTTGCGGAGGAGGCATTCTAGGCATACTCGGTGGACCAGGTCTTAACATTCTTGGCATTCCTGGTGGAGGACCTAAATTTCAAATTTCATTATTTAGATAAATTTTCTTTTCTTCGTTTAATAATGACTACTATAACATGTGTGTTCTTACCAGGAGGTAACCGTAATCCAATACGAGGAGGTGGTGGTGGAGGCATTCTTAAATGTAAAGGTGGTGGTGGTGGTCTATACATTAACGGATGAGGTGGCATTCCCATGGGAGGCATAGTATGAGGTTGCGTATGTTGGGAATGAGAATGCGAAGATGTGTGCTGATTATGATTAGAAGAGTGATCCGATGCTCCCGGAGGTTCAAGATCTTCTTCTTCAGTTTTATTATTGCTAGATTTGTTATTAGATTTTGAATTAGATTCATTCTCTGCTTCCAGTAACGATAATCGAGCATTCAAGTCTTGAGCTCGTTCGGTTTCTCGTTTTTTATGAACGACTTCCATTTCACGCATAAATTGATCGATATCTTGTCCTGCCATAGCCAACATCTTCTGTTGTAATGTTGTTGGCTTCACTTTTGACATATCCCTTTCCTTTTCTTTCTCTTTATCCGTTTCTTTCTCTTTATTATCCGACTCTTGCTTGTCTTCTTTATCATCTGCAAATCGGATTGTCCTCAGTTTTTGTATTGGTTCTTTACCCTGTGTTAGAATTACATGATTATTATACAATAATAATAAGAGAAACTCTTTAAGGACTAACCTTTTCAGGTACATCTTCTTCATCGCTAGATAAGTCTGGAGGTGGAAATGGTGGAACACCTGGTGGTTCTTTATTAGGTGCTAACATTGGTATAGAAGGAGATGTTGCATATGCACTTGTTTTTTTTAGAATACTTGGCGGTATTGGTATGTTCATCAGAGGATGATGTTGAGGTAAATAATGTGGATGAGGGGGATACATATGTGCGGGTGGCTGTGGCATATCTGGTAAAGGTATTTGTGATGTTAAAGAACCTGGAAAAATATTATTATTGTAATACAATTAGCAAAATCTGTTATAAATTAAAACAAGAATACTTAGATATACCAGGATACATTCGAGATATATCATTTCCAGCCGAAGGTAAAGGAATTTCATCAACTTGTACTTGCTGTGCATGTCGCACAGCTTCAAAATATGAAACCAAATCTATTCTTCTACGTTCATACTGTATTAATTGCTCTTTCAACTCTGCCCACTTCTCTTGATCATCCTTTGCCTACAAAAAGTTATACATGCATTATATCTTTCTGAAAAATTTTAAATCTTAATTCAATCTTACCAACAAGTTTTGAAGAAAATTAATAAATATTATTTTGAGAGTACTTACATACATTTTCAATACACGATCTAGAGTTTCCTTTAGTTTTTTCCTTTTATCTTTTAAAACTTTCTCATTGAGAGGTGGAGGCTGCATGACATTATATTCTATAAGTAATACATATAGAATTAATAGAATTAATAGAATTTTATATGAAATTGTCAATAAAATTTTGAAAACAGATATCTATAATTGTATTAATAATTATGTAAAATGCACTACAACTTATGCCAACCCATCTGATCTATCTTTTCCATTTCTTCAATGATTTGAGCAGGATCTTTGCCCTTTAAAACAGCAGCTCGTACCAGCTGTCTCTGCTTTTTATTCTTTTTTAATTCCTTTTTACGCGCTTCTTTTCCTGTAATATGGTAATTAATGATTTACGATTGTTTAGAGAGAAATAAACTGTTTGGTTATGTTATTTACTAACGTGCTTGGTCTGTGGGATTCATGTATTTCCCACTTTTCGTGGTGTTGATTGAACGACGACCCATTTTTTGGCTATTAATGACACTTGCTACACAGTAGTTTTATCTTGTATTTTCACAAATTTTGTATTAAACTACCCATTATTTACATTCACTGCAACTACCTTAGATCATATATACTACTAGACACGGCATGTGCATAGTGTGTGTATAGAAAATCCAAGAGTTTAGTGAAGCAAAGATAATTGTCCTTTCTGACGTCACGCGGAGTAAAATATGATCAGTTAAAATTGTAGTAAAATTGATGTAGAATCAAACCACATTATTCAACTAATTAAAATAATCAGTATTAACATCCTAATTAAACTTTAAATATATTTTACAAAATTATAATTCATATTTAATCAATTGAATTTATATTTTGAAAATTATACATTTTCGCATACTCATTAATGTCGAATATTAAAACGTCGTGTGTAACTTTTCCGAAATTGCAGATACAGTAATCTCTTAATCAGAGCTTTAAGGCGTCTGACCGTTCTTGGAATTTCCATTCGATGCCAGTGTGTCCATTGGTATCCATGTCCAATGGTATGAAGGATTATGCTCCAAGTGGCGCAGAAAAGAAATGGAAATTCATTGACATCATCCAACCCCATTTGTGATTCTCCCACTTTTAGTATCCTGGGAGAAAGTTGTAAAGCGTTCAGGATATAACTTATAACTTTTTCGAACCACATATGTACATACCTTCTTTGACGTTGCCTTTAATATTTCATATGTAGTTAAGAATCAGTTTTTCTGATGCTTTTTTCATAAATAAAATAAGTTACTTGCTACGTATAATGAATAAATATGGTTAAAACATGCTGTGTTTGGTCTTATTTTAATTTCATGTATAAAAAATTAGAAATAAAAAAGTTAAGTCATCGTTTTTATTCTAGCATTACAATGTACTTATAGTAATAACAGTTTTGTTCTTTCTTTCTTTCTTTCTTTCTCTCTCTCTCTCTCTCTCTCTCTCTCTCTCTCTCCCTCTCTCTCTCTCACGAGACGTTGACAATTATAAAGGCGACCCGCGAGGCTCGAAGAATCGTGTCTTGTGGTCCCTTGAAATACACCTTCAATTCCGATTCCGCGACACTTGCGGAGAAATTACTATATGTGGACTTACAATCTCTTTTATTACACTTATATTCTACATTCAATCTATTAATTATCTAGCAAAAATTAATTTTTATTTTTTAATAAATGATTTCGTTATCTAAATATGAATGATATGGCAGTGAACATGTTAAAATACAAAATAATTGCAAAATCTTTTCATTTTCCATTATAATTAGGTAATTTTAATTTAATACCTTCATATGCACCTCGCATCCATATACCCACCGCATGTGCATCAGGACAAGGATATTTCAATTTCTGTAATATATTTTACATCAATTTTTATGGAATTAACAATTCTAAAATATGGTTATGCACAAATAAATAAATGTTAGAAACAAATAAAATACCGTATTTTGTATGTTATTATGTTCAAAAATTACATATGTTTACATACGTTATCTGCAGTGAAATATTCAGCAGCTTTTACAGCTGCACCAAAAGCAGTAATGGGGTCCAGATTTTTGTTTAATGCTTTTGCTAGATTTAATTGCATTGCTTTCAAAACAACTATAAAAACATGATCATCTATACAAGGTACATCAAATTCTTTTATTGTCTCAATTGCAGTAGTTAATGCATTGAACCATGTGTCAACTGTAATTTGTTTAGTAGTTTCATACGACGAAAAAGCCTGAAAGTATCGAATTTATACAGCAATCATATCTAATACCACTATATTATACTTTACCTTGGAAATGTTATTAAAAAATAAAGAGTAAAGTCCTCCTTGTACACCATCTACTGTTCTTTCAATGATATAACTAATTTGCCTAAATGCAACACATGGATTTATACTCAATATTTTATTTTCCTATAAAGTTTATTTGATTAATAACATTTCATTATTTTGTATTTTAAATGTTACACTATATTACCTGGATGGCATCTTTGATAGCTAAAGCTCCATTCGCAAGATTTGTACCATAGTCTCCCTTTCCATATTCTTGATCTAATATGTTCAGTTGATTCATGCATGCTATTATGGCTTCGCATGCAGTTAATATAATCGATATAAATTTTTTACTAGTTTCATGACACATTGAAGGTCCTTGCAAATTTGTGTTCGTTGGGTTATCATTCTACGCTAAAATTCCACTTATGTACTCTTTGAAAATAAGATTATTTGGTAAATAAAATTCTATTACCTCACAATATCTTCCTGATGTACACAAATTCATTCTTCCTCCCTAGAAGTCAATATATATATAGTTACAGTATTAATATAATATAGTATTGTATATATGTATATTACAGGTATTGATTATTTCATTGAATTGATCAGATCATTTCACAAATAATTAAAATTTTCTTTTTACCTCTTTATTTAATTACATAGAAAACAAATATGATTAAAACTATTAGTGTAATTCACTTTTCACAAATATGAACATTAACATAATAATTTATGGAATGATTTGATATATTACCTCAATTGTTTCTAATATATCTGAAGTTAGTATTCTTGGCCAAGCAG